TAAACACCTCTGTACTCTAATTTAAATAAGTTATTCAATAGATATTTAAATCCATTTTTCTGTAGATATTCTGTAAATATTATTTCAGAGGACTTAAAAAAAAATACTTAAAATTTCCCAAATCATCATTTTCAACTTACCAAATTGTAAATTCCTAACAGAAGTGCTTCAATGCAGCCATTACTCTGTCTGTCTCGGCTAACTGTAAGCCGTAAATAAACCCACATCAATTCCGGCAAAAACTGCAACGTGAACCTCTTAAGTCGAACCTCGGAGCTACGATAGAGCTCAAATAGCTGGTGGCAGACAGGCTCCAGGAGCTAAAAAGAAAATAAAGCGTATTAGTTATTTCCATTCTTTTGGCTGTAACTGTATTTTTTAAAGATAGATATACTTACATAATATTTTAAAAATAAATTCTCAATATTAATTTTTGTTTATTTTAAATCAATGCAAATAAAACCTATTTATGCACAGACTACACATTAAACTGACCAATCCACTAACAATAAGAAGTACTCTGTGCCCATACAATATCAATATATCTTTCAATATACTGTACTATTAAATTTATTCGATAATTAGTTCTTTGACCAATGTACTACTGTATATTTAGTGAGTTTCCTTTTCTGTTCTTACAAACCCTTACTACCCTCCATTTTGAAAAGTTTCTGTTAGAAGAAAATAATTTCAAATTATCTTTTGGAAATAAACTTTAAATCTCAATTTAGACTATGATTTAAACACATTATATACCACTCTGTAGAGAAAAGGATTTTGCAATACATAATATTTAGACATCCAAAATGCTAACTGATATTTTAAATATATATAAGTAAAACAGATTACTTTTAAGACTGACTTAACTTGTACTAATTACATTTATTGGAAAGATTCCGAAAAGGAAAAAAGTGTAAATATAGAGAAATAGCTTTTCCAATGTTTAATTGGATAATTTTTCAAATGATAGCACATAATATGATTTATAAGCAACTTTATAATCTTGAAAAGTGAAGAAAATGAGTAGTTTAAATAAATCTCCTCTCCTTACTAAACATGTACTGCTAATTTAGAATGGTTTTGGTAGAATAACTGCAGACTACACAAAACTGGCCGTGATTTTTAAAAGCAGATAAAACACCAAAAGGAAACTATAAAATAATGTTTAAATTAAAATTTAACGATAGCTTAAAAAAAAGGAATAATTTATACACTTACCTCTATTCTGAATGATTATAATAATGCATACATATACATTTGGAAATCTGCTGGAATATAGTTATATATGTCTGTAATAATCTAACACTCCAGAATAAAGTCACTACTTTCACAATTGTAAATTAAAGGTCAACAAATCCTTTGTTGATTGTACAGTTAATATACAGAGATGAATTAAGCTTAGCTCTTAACAAACAACTCTAAAGCTAGAAAAATTTACACACACACATACATCTTAGCCTAGGAACTACTAAGCCCTTTATATGAAATCACTATCATTGTCTTTAAAATCTTAAAAAGACATTCCAACTCTCCCCTTACACTGAAGTCCAAACCAGGCAGGCAATTTGCCCAAGGTCACAGAAATTAGTGGTGGAGGAAGACATTAAAATTCAGGTCTTCTGACACCATGTTGATGTTCTCACCACATAGCATTTCTTACACTAGAATGGAGGCGGAATAGGAGGTGAGGGTGGTTTAGTTACAAATAGTATATTCCAAGAGTGCTCACAACGAAGTAATAAACTTTTGAAAATAGTCAATTGCTGGCAACTTTTTAAACTATGGTCAATGATATTCAGCTCCTGAGGGGAATTAAAAATTGTTGCTTTTATAAATTTATGTATTAAAAATATGTATCCATGTTTCAAACCTACTTTCCTCTTTAGTAAAAGACTTTAAAAATTGCCTTCTCTAAATTTCATTGGCCATCTTACAATTTGCTTATGTTATAAAGACCTTACTTCCCTTCCTCAGTAGCAGGTACACTGGCAGGTAAAGACTATACTTTAATTGAGCACTGCAAAGAAATAGAGTTATCAAAATTATTACTCTGCTTTTTTTTAAAAACAAAAAAAAGGGAGGGAGGAGAAGTGGCAGGAAATTCAGTAACTTTTAATCAGATACCACTGCAAAATAAGACTTAAAAACTTGACAATGTTCTTTGTTAAAAATCTTTAATTCCAAGCATATGCATTATGCCATCATGTTCTCAATTTCTCAGTATCATAAATGACTCTGACTTCCCCTAAATGGTGCTATCACCCACACCAAAAGGTGTTAAAAATCATTAACTTCTAGTTAAAAAAAAAGCTTAAGAATAACTGACATTTTCCTCAAACTTTAGCAAACAGTTTTGACATGATAGTTATTAAGAGACATGCTATATGATGAACGCACTGAGAGCAGTTTGGGTGGAATAATGGAGACCGAACTCGCTTATGAGTGGGTTACAGAAAAAGTGGGAGGTGAGGAAATGGGGACAACCAGACAGAGGCTCTGAATAATAAGCGACACTTTATAAAGTTCATCTGGGAAGAAGGACAGAAAAATGGGGTAATAGTAAAATAGAAGGAAAATCAAAGGTTTTTTAAAAATAAAATACGGTGTTTACTGTATTCCATACATCAGAAAAGGGGGAAAAATTAATGACCAAGGAAAGAGAGAGGACAACTGCAGGAGCAAGCTTTGAGGTGGCTAGCGAAGATGCTATCCAGGCTTATGTGGACGAGACGGCCTTTGACACAACCTGGGACACTCCACCCACCGAGCTGCAGACACAGGAGGAAAGCGTAGGCAGAGATGCTGGTAGAGTGGCAGATTTGAATGGGAAAATAGGGTTTCCAACTATTTTCTTCTTTTATAATGACACAGAAAGCAAGCTGAAAATGAGGGTGAAGGACAGTTAAGAGTGATAGAAAAGAGAAAGTATAAGGGGAGCAGGGGGACAGTATACCAAGGAAATACTATCTGCTCACTTGTGATTTTTAGTCCTGCATTTAAAATGGAGAAAGTCAACAAGATTGTGTTTTCTCCAGGCATGCTCAGCCACTCAGGTACAGGCATGAAACAAATGGATGACTAAGTTTTATCCAGTGTTGATATTTTGCCCAAAGAATATGAATTAAGGGAATGAGATGCAAAGGAGCTAAGAATGTTTACAAGGGAATGACTGTAATGATGGACCATGATAATTTAGCTAAGAAAAGAGGGAAGTGAGATATTTGAGGGGAGGCAGAAGAGCAATCAAGTCATGAAAAGGCGAGAGTTTACAGTCTCCTTGAAGTGGAAGAACTGCTAGAGTGACCAAAGAATCTAGAAGGAGGGAAAAGAGAAAAATAAAGCAGTATGTTGGTCTAGAGATTAAAACTTGAGCTGTAGTTTAGGTGGACAGTGATATGTAATATTAAACTTCTAGGAAATACACTTTTTTGAGAATTTTTATGGTATTTAAAGTAAAATGATAAGACTGTCATAAGTTTCAATTAATATTATGTATGGCATGTGACAATTTTCTGAAATAATTTCTTATTAAGTAAATAATATATCTGATATTTCAGAATATAACAAAATCAGGACTAAAAGGGCCCTCCTCCTAGGACTGGAGTCCAGAATTGCTTTGAGATTCTACAGAGCTTAATTTTAACATTCTGTTCTTCTGAAGTATGAACACATGGTTAGAACCTTATGACCTGATGGAAGTAAGGATGGAAAGACCAGACCTGCTTTAGCAACTGCTTGATTCTAATGACTGCTGGGTCTTGAGCTTACGTCTCTCAAATTATAATTTTTCCATTTCTAGCCTTGACAAAGTCTCACATGTTAATACCATAAAGTATGACAATGAGTGTGTATATGTCCATGAATGACTGAAAGATTGTGCTGAACACTGGAATTTGACACAACATTGTAAAATGATTATAAATCAATAAAAAATGTTAAAAAAAAATAAAGTATGACAATATAAAGTAATGTGAATAACTTAATTTAATGTCATAGCTTCCAAAGACTAAAAGAAAAAAAGGAAGCCAATAATTTTTATGCTTGTGAGTCCTAACGAAAACGACAGCATTTTAGAATCTCATTTCGTACGTCACTATTCTTCTAGTCTATATTTATTAAGTGTTCATTACGCACATGATAAAATACTAGATTCTAGGGAATTAACCAATACAGAATATACGACCACTGCCCATGAAGAGCTTACAATCTAAAGAGAAAGCATAAAACAAATACATTTTAATAAGCAAAGCTTAATGTTAAAACAGTGCAAAACAAGGGGTAGGGAATAGACATTCAATATTCACACAGAATTTTGAAAACTCCTGACCAAGAAGGATATGCATATATGTCCATTACCACACCTAAAGTTATAAAACATTCATAAATACACAGCAAGAGGAAAAGAAGCAAATGAATCCTGCAATTGCTGCTACAAACAGCAACAGATGCAAGCCTAACTGAGAGCCAATCCAAGTTTAGGAGATAGGAAAGAGAGAGGTCAATAAGCAAGCTTTTAGTGATAGGACAAAAATGAAGATGCACTTTAAGTTAAGCTGCTGGTTAGGAGATGATTACCTGAACTTCTTCAAACTCACTCCAGTACACAGCAGAGGCACTCTTGGAGGCTGTATCTGGGAAGATAAGAAGCTACTTTCCTGTGTGTTCCTTTCATTTTCATTTTAAAGCATACATGAATCCAGTGGTGATTAAAATGTATGTTATACTACTGTGTTAATGGAAAGATAATGTGTGTATTTTGCATAAGTTAACATATAGAGCCAATAGCTGCATTTTTCCCCTTCTCTTGCACAGCTGAATAATAGGAAATTCTTTTTCTAAGTTTATTGATCTTGACTATTTAGGCTAAAAAGTGTTTTCGCTGATCATTTTCAAGCTAGATTTACTAGCAACATCATTTCATGTTACCAGTATGATTCAGTTCACTGATTAGAGTGATTAATAAAAGAACTGCAAATAACACTTAAATAAATCTCAATCAGCATACGGTTAAAATTTGGCTTCCAGGAAAGAAAACATTCCAGAACAGGATACAGAAAAGGTTTCAAATTAAATAATCTACTGATAATCTATGGTCATTGTATGGTCAAATAATCTATGGTCACTCAAATCAAGAATCAAAACATACTGTCCTCCACAGGAACAAATTTTTAAAAACATTAAAAAATATCGAGAAGGAGGTCATGGGGAAAGCCAAAGCAAACTATCAGAATGAAAAACAGCAGAAAGAAGGTTCTTCAGTCCCTTAAGAAGGATTAAAAAAAAAAAAGAGGAAAAACTACAAAACTTACATATATGTATTTTAGTACACATATTTTATTATACTATGTTGAAATTGTTTTTCTTATAAACTTTCCTACCTCATTATTCAAATCTTGAATAACTTTATAGAGGGCTGGTACCAGTGTTTTTTTCCGGTGTAAAGTTGCTGCATAATTGGTGATTTGAGTGTCAGGTAATGCCTAAAATAAACATCAAAGGAAAACTAAAGTGAATTTAATATTCAGGAAGTCAGGAACTTTATTTCACATGAGTTCCTCTTTAAAAGATTTATAATGACAAACTAAGGAAAGTAAAAATATTTAAAATAAGAAATAACCATGAGAGATAATAAAGTAAATTAAGTTAGGATGTTTTACAATTCTTCAAACTACTCAACCATGAAAAATGACTAGAAATCACAGCATTACACCAAGATTTGCTGAAATGAGTCACCTTAAATTAATCTAGTCTAAAAAAACAGTGTAGGATATACTTCAATTCTTATAACTTATGTTCACAAAGCACTAATTTCCATAGTGTTCATAAATTACATAGCTTTCAATCAAATCAATGGGTGATTTTTAATCACAGGAAGTAAAAACATAAGGCACAAATCAGATTTCTGTGCCATTAAAGCTTGTTGGCTTCCTCTCTTTTATTGAATATATCTTAAAATTCTTACATCACTTTATTGATACTAACAACCAGTTTCATTTTTATATTATCTTCTTGCCATTATTCACATTAGTGCCTTTTTAAAGAGGTACAATTATAGAAACATGTTACTTCATATTTTGCCATTTCCATTTCATATCTTAAAACTTTTGTTTCAGTTTCTCTATGAACACATTTATACTGAATTACTGACATACAGAATCATATGACACATTCTTATCCTCAATCCAATTTACCTTGAATTCTGATAACCATTCTTCCACAACACCACGTTCAGATCCCAGCATCTTCTTCTACCTTCTATTCCTCTTTTCTCTATGAAAGAAAAAAAGAACTGAACTTGAGGACAGCATTACTTACAGAAACTATCAAAGGTAGATGTGTGCCTTTCACTGAAGGAGAAACTCATCTAGTTACATTTTACATAAGGAGGCTTACTTTCAGACTAGAGTTCAATTAAAACAAAACTTTATAAGAAATAAGTTCTATTTTTTATGATACAATTGAAATCTATTTTCCCCAACAATTATACTTCGAAGTGGTAAAAATCAGTTTACTAAATGAAATCAAAATGCACATTACCCAAGACAAATGTACAACCTATGCCTGGAGCTTTTACCATATGCAAAACTGCAATAAGCTGCACATAACAGAACAAACTATGTGACAGATTATAAATGATGAAGATAAAAAAACTAGAAATCAAGGGTCATATATTCAGCAAACTGATTTATAAACATATATATACTATTTGAAATAAGGCCTCTGAAGAAGGTAGATGTATGTGTTTTCTAAAATGGAAAAATGTCCAAGTAGAAAAAGCAAGTTGTACAACAGTATGTAAACTACAACTCCATCAAAAGTGATATAAAATAACTATTAAGAGTTTCCCTCTGAGGGAAATACTAAGGATAGTCTAATTACGTGGCTTTGAATTATAAAAAAAATTAGAATGTATCATTTTTAAAGTGAGACAGACAAAAAATGGTTTTTGGTTTTTAATTTAAGGCTCAAAAGGTAACTAAAAGAAAAAAAAAGAGCTTCTTGGGCAGTGAGGGAAATGTCTACAAAGCAACTGAAATGAAAGCCTTTATTAAAATGACAGTATATCCTGAGTGCATCCTATTTCACAATAAATTTCTACCTAAAAAAAGGACATCAAATTTTCTAATTCCACCCCCGCATTCCCTAAATATCCACATATAATACATTATACCGAGTACTATGTAAGCAAGGACTACAAAAAGGAGTAAGAAATGCTCCTTATTTT